ATTTTTTGCAATCACTACTTAGTACTTTCTGTGCTGAAGAAGAGAAACAACTGTTTTCGCGGGGAAATCAATCTGGTTTGTTGGTGAAGGGAAAGAACAATCTTGAATCTAAATTTGAACGTGTAGGCTTGAGTGAAAAGCGGAGGAGCAATTTGGGTTCTGAATTTGACAAAACTAAACTCTTCTGTGGTGATAAATCGACGAGCAGGGTGGATAACCTTATTGATGATGAGTTAGATTTTATGGAGATGATGGAGAGTATTGAACGGTTCTCCTCTTCTCCTAGTGGAGAACAGGATAAGTTTAAGGTAGCAAACATGTCTCGTGATCAGGTGGTGTCGATGTTTGGAGGAAATTGTTTTGGTGATGGTAAAGAAGACAATCACAAGGCAGGAAACAAAAATGGTGATCAGGTATTTAAGTCCAGGTCAAATATTTTGGATGGTAAAAATGACAAGTTAAAGGACAAGTTAAAGAAAATAAGCAGACCTGTTGATGATCTGTTTAAGTTTGGGTCAACTAAATTGGATGCTAAAGACAGCAAATCAAAGACCTTTGGAGAAGGAACGAAAGGCGATCAGCTGTTTAAGTTTGGAGAGCAGTGTAAGATTGGAGAGAAGCGAGGCAGGAACAATCAGCCTCAATTGGTAATGGAGGAGAACAAAGGCACAAAAGATGTCAAGCAACTTACAGAAAGATTAACAGCCTTCTATTCCAGCTGGAGGAAATACAAAGAAGAGAAATGGGGAAAAGCAGATGTTTTGGTGATTACTACTCCATCAGTGGCACCAGTGGAAGATTTGTCTCGTAGCTTCTTAGTGTGGTTGCTGGATGGTGAGTTTCTGGATACCACAGCTGTTTTTACAGACACTGGAATAGAATTTCTTTGCACCAAGGAAAGTTTCTTCAGGCTTCGTACAATTGGAATTTGTATGACAAAGATTGCAAAGCTAACTGTTTCTGTCCAACTGAAGAAACGAGGAGAGCGATGTGTAGATTGGTTAAAAAAGACTTTGAGGCAGGTGAATACTGCGGCGAAGTCTGAAGCAAACTGGTGCCCACTTGTTGTTGGCTGTATATTTGGGGAGTCTGGGGAGATAGAGGTTCTTTCAAGTTCCAAAATGTTTGAAGTTGCATATGTAGACAGTGCTTTAACCAACTTGCTTGAACAGGGGAATTTTGCGAAAGCAGAAAGGTTTGCAGCTCAACAGTCAACTTTACCTAAGCAATTTCAGATGTTGTCATTGGAAACATGTGGCAGTGCAAAAACTGCAAATGCTGTATCATTTTCTGAGTTAGCCAAAATTAGGTCGATGGATGATAATTCTTATTTGTCAGAAGAATTACTCCGTGGTGCAAAAACTCCTACTGACGGTAGAGTGGATAATGGAGGACCAGTTGAGCAAACCAAACCTGAAGAAAACAAGGTATTTGAGGAGGACAATTCATCAAGAAAACTTGCAGATAAGATGATGTTGCTTGAGATAAAGGAGGGTGATATGGAAACCTCTATCACAGAGGACAGTGCAAAAGAAAAGCCATTGGCTATGCTATTGAACGATGAAAATAGTCCCTTACTGCAAGTGAAGGAGCATGGAGAGCAATCTGGACCAACTGCAGAAGGAGGAATGGATTACAGTATCCAGCCAACTGGTGTTATAGATGCTGCATCAGAAAGTTCTTTACCAGATGATAACAATGGCATCTCGAGGAAGGACTCTGTTGGTTCTGATGATGATTGGACATTAGTTGAGATTGAGTGTCAAGGGAAAGAAACAGAAGTAGCCGAGAGAGTCAGCTGGGGAAGGTATTGATATCACACATTGTAATTTTCTTTAATCCTTTTCTTTTGGTTTGTTATAACAACTCTTTGTTCATGTTTTGTATAGGTGGTTCATGGGTAAAACTGGAAAATCATTTGGTTTTAAAGACGAGGTGTGCGATGAAGCACCATCAAAGAGGACCAAGGCTGATCCATGAATACATATCTGCAGTCTTTTCTCTGTTTGATTAGCTGCTAGCCAACAGTAGGTAGTGCACAATAATGCTCTTTATTTTCTAGGTCAATAATTTTCATTGCTTGTCTTAGAACTTCATAACTCATCTTTAAATATGGTTCCATCGTGTTAACGATATGTGCCTTCGTTAATCTCATGATGTTTATATTTTGCTCACAACAACTTATGATACATTATTGTCCATCTAATTTCATGTTTTTATTAGACAGTAACTGCCACTCTGAAACAAACCTTGGTTTTAATTTTTATGTTACATCTGTGTGGCATATAACAGAGTAATTTCATCTAAAAGCAGCATTAAGCTGAGAAGCTGCTTTAGTGCAGATAAAAAGTAAGTCGTTTGGTTGGGAATTAGTTATCCCAGGATTAATTATCCTGGGTTTAGTTATCCCACCCTGTATATGGGATAACTTATCCCATCACTATGGTATAAATGGTGGGATAAGTTAATCCCAAACCTGTCAACCAAACAAGACACCAAACTTTTATCCCAGGATTATTTTGTTATCCCAGGACTATATATTCTTATTCCTCACACCGAAGTACTCTTTGAGCAGAGGGTCTATCGAGGGGGATTTAACAAGGTAGATCCGTACACTTGATCCTTCTCATATTTCACATTCTGGGATTATATTGGATATTTTGTTATACTAGAAATACGATAGTGCATTCTCGAATGTCAAATGTTTTGTTTTTTTCATCGTAACAAGTATTAAGTAACTTGATTCATCAAGGTTTAGACATTTGATAAAACATTGATCACCTTGGTGTTGCATCTAGTGATACTCAAATCTTGATTTTTAGGTTGTTTACTTCGTCTCTTCTACCACTAAACACTATATCAGTTTGTGTTTGACTAAATCATTTGGAAAGTGTTTTTTGTTAGTGACTAATTTGTGTGATCCAACATTTTCAAAAAGTAATTTGAAGAGTTGAATGACATAAAATAAGATTTTAATTTGATAAATATGAATTTTTATACTAGTGGTGTCTTTATTAAAAAAATTTAAAACACGTTATTTTGGGGAATTTTTTCCTTTGTGTTGCTACTGCTATACTATTACGCTAAATATTTTTTTTATTGTTATCAAACACCTTCATTCTCTCACATAAATATTTTTCTTGAGAAATTAGTATTTTTTTGACATTTCATAAGCTATAATATAGATATGTGCCTCTTCCACCAATACTTTACAGTTTACACTATCAAGTGCTTACGCCATCTAAAATTCTACATTATTGATTATCACTATCAATTGCTTACGCCATCCAATATAACTATGTCACCTTGGTAATTATGACAAACAAGAAATTGGAAGCAAAATAGTTTATAAAGTGTTTTTCTCAAACTAAAATGCAAACTATACTCTATAGAGATAGATCCATAATTATTTCATTGACGCTTTCTTATCGAATTAAATTTTCATAACATGCATAGATGTTGACCTTAGCTAGTCCTAACACTATGACAAAAGGACATTCCCATCAAATAATTGAAGTATATGGCATCCAGACATGTTGGAAATAACTTGTGGAGTATAGAGGAGAAGAAAACTTATCCACAAGAAAAAAAGCGGGAATCAAAACAAAAATAGGCGTGTTAGGATTAGTAATTCATATAGTATATTTTGAGAGTTATCGACTAATAATGACCTAAAAAAAATGACAAAAACTAGTTTAATTGTACCTGACGCTATCATCGATCACATTTTATTTCGTATGTAATACTAGATAACTAATTTCACATAACTTAATGTGAATATTATTTAATACCACTAATCAAAGATTACACGGCTTATATGAAACATATTTTTTCTTATATGACCAACCAAATTGAAGGTAATATTATTTTAAGTGTTAGGAGTAATTATATCACGAAAGGACATATTAAATTATTTAAAGTACTTCTCTTCCTCGAATGGAGTTTCCTATGTTAACATTGTTAAGGAGCATAAAATTTTTGACAATATATACAACATAGAAGTAATCGTCGTTAGCCGTTTTCATTAGAGGATAATCCTTTTTTTCGAACATTAATTAGTCTAGAGGAATATAATTTCAGTAAACATATATCTTTGGAGCCAGCAATTTGTGAGTACAGGGACAGCAATATATTAAAATATTCACTAAGTGTAATTTCAAATGATACATTTCGTATCAATAAACTGAACGAATTGTGGTTAGAAAAAGTTTTGAATTCTGAATTCGTCTATGAGGAAACACTCTCTCACTCTCTATGTTGTGTTGGTTATATATTGTCGTTGATGATGGCATGCATCATGCCATCGTCTAGAAATTCCACTATATTTTTAATTACGATGAAAAAAAAACTTAAAACACATAAATATATTTATCATAGTATGATAATGTACACTTTAAAATTAATATTAATTTGGGACATGAAAATGTCATAAAATCTGCATAATTTTGGACCCAATTAATTCACTTACTATTGGAATAAGCTGATACACTACTTTGCAAACTATGCCCCTCAACTTTGTTTTATTGGTTGATTATATATGCCTTTATCATTAAAAATAAGTGGGTAATTCAGGTTGAAAATGGGAATTTGAGATCGATTTGGGGAAAACTGTTAGTTTGAAGGGGACAAGTGATAAGTATAGTAACGACTAAGAATAACTTCATTTTAACGGTAAGGATATAGTCAACCAATAAAACAAAGTTGAGAGGTATTTTTGATAATTTTCCCTAAATTCTATGTATGTGAAGGACAATATAATAAAATAGTATGTCTTACTTTTATCGACTGGTGTAAAATATCTGATATAAATAAATTTGAATCTTTCACATGGGGGCAAATTACTATTTTTAGGTACTAAATGATGATCAATTCTTTCAAATTGGTAATAAACCTTTCGAATTAATTAATGGATCTAGCTTTCAAATTATTCACCAAAAAAACACAAAATTCCAATTATCTATCTATCACACATCTTGAATATTGCAACTTGTCCAAACTCCATATATTATAAATTAAAAGCTTCACCACTTATTCTTCTTCTCCATAAAAACAAACAAAACTAAACAATAATGAGTCCTCAATTATTTCTACTCCTCAAAATCACAACCCTATCAATCCTTGTACAACCAACCCTAATCTTAGCAAATTGTACATGTGAACCTCAAGACAACAAATATAATCATCAAACTAAACACAAAGCCGCCTTATCCTACAAACTTATAGCCATATCTTCAATCCTTTGTTCAAGTGCACTTGGAGTCATCCTCCCAATCCTCTTAAAAAACTTCAAATCATTGCAAAAAAATGACTATTCATCCCTTCAATTCTTGATAAAGGCGTTCGCGGCGGGAGTGATCTTAGCCACGGGGTTTATACACATTCTTCCTGATGCATTTGAGAGCTTGACTAGTCCTTGTCTTAGTGAAAATTTATGGGGGAGTTTTCCATTTGCTGGATTTGTTGCAATGATGTCTGCTATATTTACTTTGATGATGGAGTCATTTGCAACTGGTTATCATAGAAGAGCTGAATTGAGAAAAGCTCAGCCAGTCAATATTGGAGATGATGATGAACAAGGACAAGGACAAGATGAGCATATTGCTCATGGTCCACAAATTTTGCTAGAAAGATCTGATTCTTCAAGTCTTATGAGACATAGGTTAATATCACAGGTAAATATCTTTTGACTGATCTGATAGTATACATTTTTTTTTGTACGAAATAGTTTTTTTTTATAATCCTGAATAAGTAGAAAATTTGTGTTATAAACACGATTCTCCACTCATTTTCTACCGAATTAGCTCAGTGAGAAAATGCATGGTGGATAATAAAACAGATTCTCACTGAAATAGTGAGAATTAAATTTACTAATTTTTCAATATGAAAATATTACTCTTTTTTCTCTTCTTGTTGATTCAAACAAAATATCTGTTGAAAATAACCACTGGACATTTTTCAATGGATAACTTCAACGGGAAATAGTAATATTTTAATAGTGTGTGTCGGATCCTCCATAAATGGACACATTTGGAGGAACCAATGTCTTATATTGATTGCTATGTCACTACAACAAAAACAACTCTTAGCGATAATAAAGAGTGATAAAAGTCTTTACCGGCATTAGTTAATTGTCATTGGATGTCGCTATAGACTTTAGGGACATTTACTCTAAAGAGTGTTAAATGTCGCTAAAAATATGTTTTTAGCAGCAATTAAGTTATTGTCGTTAATTAATTGCCGTTAAAAGATCATTTTTGATATAGTGTGTTGTTTGAACTCTCTAAAAATAGTATTGCGCTCATATCGAATCCTTCAAAAATAAATTATTTTAAGGATCGGATGCACACTCATTTACATTAATAATAATTTTATTTTAATATCAAAAAGGGAAAAAAGGGAAAGAAAATGCTACTCTACTGATGTCTGGTGGGGTTTTTATAACTACACGAAAGAGATGAAAGAAAACAAAGAAAAAATTAAAGTTTTCCTTAATATTTCCTTGATCTATTTTTCCTTAATTTTCTTCATCTTATTTTGCTTCTTTTTTTTATTGGTTTCTTTTCTAAAACAAAAATAGTTTGAGAGATTTCGAAAGAACAAAAATCATAGAATATAATTTGGGCATATTCTTGTGTCGGTATGTTTGTCTTTTTATATTATAAAAATGCCTAATCTTTTTGTGTTGTCAATTATTCTGTATTTTTTTTTGTCATGTCATAGAGTTAATAATTCAACTTCATTTGTTCTGATTCAACAGATTTAAGGTTAATTACATAAACAACCTTACAAATTTATCCTAATCATAGCTAGTTTTATGTTGCAAAACCTTCAATTGAATTAGGAGAAAAATAGAAACTTATTAATAAAAAACATATTTTACCACAAATATTCTCTAACCAAAGAAAACTATGCAAAATATTTGACATACTAATATTCTGAAATTAATAATTCTTCAAATTTTGCAGGTTTTGGAATTGGGAATTTTGGTTCATTCTGTGATTATTGGGATTTCCCTTGGAACTACAGAAAATCCCAAAACAATTAAACCTCTAATAATAGCTTTGAGTTTTCATCAATTTTTTGAAGGCATGGGACTTGGTGGCTGTATTTCCCAGGTAAAATTAGTGAATTCTTTTGTCCGTTCTAAATTAATTGTTATATTTCACTTTTTGAGAGTTCTGGTTGTACTGTACCTGATATATGTGCATGTGCAGGCAAAGTATAAGGCAAGAACAATTATAATTATGGTATTATTCTTTACTGTTACTACTCCAAGTGGAATAGCTATTGGAATGATGATATCAAAAGGTTACAATGAGCAAAGCTCAACAGCACTAATTGTACAAGGAGTTCTTAATTCAGCATCAGCTGGAATTCTTATTTACATGGCACTTGTGGATCTTCTTGCAACTGATTTTATGGACCCTAAATTATACACTAGTTTCAAACTCCAAATAAGTGCAAATGTATCACTTGTCTTGGGAGCTGCTTGTATGTCATTATTGGCAAAATGGGGTGGCACATAATTTCAATAGATAAATTATGTATATAGGAGTAATTTTTATTGGAAGAAGAATATACTAGTCGTTTGTCGTTAATTATGATATGATTCATTAGCTAACGGAAAGAGTTGGTTGAATCTTAAAGAATATGTCAAATTTAGACTTAATTATAATATGATTCATTAGCTAACTGAAAGAGCTGGTTGAATCTTAAGGATTATGTCAAATTTAGACCATCACTATGTAGACGAAATATCATCAAAGACTTCTTTGACACACCTCAAGTTGACTTATGTTCTCCATAAATAATTAATTTTTTTCGCAACAACTTTTAGTTTCACAAGAATTTGACCATATATTATTTTATTATATCAACTTATGTCATTTCTTTGTAATATGATTCCATGATTTTAGAGAGAGAAAACTGTAAAATATTGAGCTTTTTGCACTTTAGCATCTGTCAACTTGCAACTTGCAATAATGGACTTAATCAAAAATCAAGTTGCTCTCTTGTTAAACATGTCAAAAAAGAAATTAAAGTATAATATGTTCAGGTGATCAATTCCTAAATAATTACACGAATATACCTATTAAACCATATACTGTAGTAGTTATAATTAGCCTAGTCCGTGAATCTCACAAATAAGACGATATTATCATGGAAGGCTATAGCTGGACCGATAGAATTCCTCCCTACTTAATCAAAATTATGAATCAAGCCCTGAATATGTAAAATCATGATACTAAATTTGAATTCGCACCAATAAACTCATGCACTAAAGAGGTTATGCTTCTCGCTGAGTATCATTTGAACTTGAAATTTCTGAATTAGAGGAAAGAAAAAAGTGTATAAAATTCTGGAAAGAGATTTTATATCATAAAGTTAATAAGGTTGATATTTAGTGATCTTAAGCTACAATACAACTATTCTCTATTCAGGTAAAGACCAAAAGAGAGAATAAGGACAACTTATTTGGTCCTTCAATTAGTTTGTGGAAAGTGTTAAAAGAACACCATAGATACAGTTCACCAGATGCAGGAGTGTATAGTCTATAGAGATGTAAAGCAACTTTACTTTACAGTCAACGGAATGATAAAAAGGGTATCTAGTGATAGTGTTTACTATTATTGTGTCAAATCTGCTACAAGGAAAGAATAAATTAAACGGACAGTCAGAATTCAAAGTTCATGAGTTCTGAATTTGTCACCGAACCTCATTTTAATTACTCAGTTCACAATTAAGTATATTTATACATGTGTAATGGATTTCCTAATATAGATACAGTCCCTCTTCTTCAGAAAGCAAATCAGTATTGCTTTAGCTGGGCACTAAGAATACAAGGAGTGGTCAAAATTGATTGTGTAACTCAAATGTTGCTCTTCATGAATCACATTCATCCATCCACAAATCTATCAAACAAATAATTCACTTAGCATAGCTACATGACTAGTTAAATCAATAATTTAAAAGAGACAAAAAGCTTTAATGAAAGGAGATGCTTAAGATATAACCTGCTCATTCTGTAATGTTAAAACAGAGCTTAGCCTCATCCCAAGGGCCATTAATCTCAAACTTGTACTCTTGAATCCTTATCAGCCAGTAAGGACAAACCAAATTAACAAAGACAAAGATGCCCAAAAGCACAATGAAAAGCAGCTTATGCAACTGGTAAGTGAAGACTAGTGTCAGAACCAATAACTGAAGGGAGAAACAAATATGTAACTTGAAAGAACGCTTCTTCACACAATATGTGACTAAAGGAGCAAAGAGGAAAACTTGCAAGGAGAATAGCACGATAGCAAAGACATGAAGCCTTGATGGAAGGCGAGAAGAAATCAGAAGTGAAGCCACGATCGAAGCATTCAGAGAGATATTGCTTGTCAGGGTTGGATTATCTAAAGCTCCAGGAGCCTTTACAGTGGACCCTGAGTAATTGTGCAGGAAGAGATGGAGTATGAGAAGGGAAGCTGTTAGTGCCCATATAGAATTCGAGCTTATGGACCTAGTAAGTGTGTGGTAGATAGGAGACAACATATATAAGGCAGTTATGAAGAAGGTATTCTTTAGGAGATAATTGAGGAGGAGATTGAAGGGTATCATGTCTGCAGTTAAAAGCAGAATAAAGAATCCCGATCCAAGTAGGCTAACATTCAGTAGCAAAAGATATTTTTCTGTCAAGGTATTTGTGAGGGTGTAGGTCCAAACCAAAACCACAAGGGCGACAATGCAAAGATATTGTGAGATAGAAACTGCGTCAAGCACCACCTTCAATAAGTCTCTTTTGACAACATTAGCATTCATGATCATTTCCTCCAGGAAGGATTCATCTGTGTGATTGTCACCAAAGCCAGGTTGCATCCCACCATAAACAACTTTTCTCCATTTAGGATGGGTTGGAGAAGAGCTTCCACTGATGCTAGCTTCCATTTGTATCATACAATTTTACTCCATGGCATCTGTAAAAAATTAAATGATAACACTTAGGGATCCTAAATCACTAATCTCTCTTAGAGTTCATAAGATAAGTTTGAAATGGAAAAGGGGAAACACAGCAAATGATGCAACCTTGCTTGGGGTCTGGAGCCATGTAATATTTTTAATCAGCACTTGCCAATTGTTTTACCTTAGGGATAAAGAACATAATAATTTAAGTAACTGGATGTTGTTGTCTATTTAGTAATTTTTAAGCTAGATAAAGACATTGCAGACATAAATAAAGATCCCTGGCTGCAGAAACTCATTATCTTGCACTGTTTATCTTTATTGAGTCTAATACCATCCAATTTCATTTTGCATCACGTAATCCCTCTTAATTGGTGAAATATAATCTTGATATCTTCTGCTTTTAAACTAATTAAGAACTTAAGTCTCCCTCAAAAAGTATGATATAACCGCCTTATACTCTTACTTTCTTTTTCAAAATGGCAAGTATAAATTTATTGATGTAAAGAAGCACTAAAATGGTGCTGTGATGTTACATCCAAAAAGAGAAAGTATGTCCACTTCTAGTTATATACGTATCCAAAAAGAAAAAGTATGTCCACTTCTAGTTATATACGTAACACACTGGCAAACTTCAAAGCATAATTCATATCTTTGCAGCTACTATTTCAGCAAGCGCCTAAAATCAAAAGTAACAACTTAAACATCAAGGCCAGATATATCAAGAATGTCTCAGGCGTTAATACTTGAAAAATCAACTAATTCAATACTCAAACTCGACTAATCCTCTGTTTTTCAGCAGCAAAAAAGTAGCATTCTTTCAGCTCTAAAGCATAGCTTTCACACAAGCAGCCTATTGCAGCATAAAAAACTACTCTGCAGCAACGAAAAATGTATCTGCAGTTAAAAAGCAGCATGCTGCAGCAAGCAAACTCTAACACAAATTACTACAAGCTCATTTTAAAGACATTATTTTTCTCATGTACATCTTCAAGATATCTGACTTGCTGTATTTCTTGATATGGTCTTAGGGGTTTGATTTAAAAACAAATGGATGTCCCTATTTTCTTGATGTTCTACAAAACTTAAAGTATAATTATGCTTTAAGTATAGCTATGAACAGTTTCTCACGGTATTTAGCCTGATCATCAATTGGTTCAGACTGACTCATTTTTTATGAAGTATTCAGACTGAAGCTCATTATTGGTTTTTGGAATATGAGTATCCTCAATATGAGGCTTCATAGTTTATGTTCCAGCCACATAGATTATACCACAAACCTTTACCTTCCACCACTACTACGAGGCAATTTCACAAAAGTATCCTAAGCAACGGAAGTTTGCCTCTTAGCTCATTTACTAATAGTGGAAGAACCTATATCAATATCCTATATCACAAGAATCAGCAATAGCTTACATAGACATCTCTACCTAAACCAATAATTATATATCATGGTAGATTAGCTCCATCTTCAAATAAGAATCAACTGCTATAGTATATTGTTTTACCCACTGCAAAGGTGTTATAGAACTATGATATGGATTAAACTCTACCAGGTCTGAATTTTCTTAGGAAGTGGTTATTTCCAGATAGGAACTATATCTGAAGCAAGCATTTGTTCCCAGGAGGATCTAATTTCTAGCAGGAAAGCCTATCAATAGTTACTCTAAAAATGCAGACAAGCAGTTCCAGAGTTTTAAGTTGCTTGTTTGTAGTCTTCAATTGACACAAAAAATAGAGGAGAGTAATAATTTTTCTGTATGATTATTTTACTTCATGTTATGCAGGATTAAGAAAAAGGAAAAATCAAGATTATTTGACAGAATAAGAATCAGTTCGTCCCAATTTTGTGAAGAAAGCTTAACCCAACAATCAACAAATCTTCCAACGACTACATCAATTTCTCCAAAAGCAAACCCTGGTCGAGTTAGAAAACAAAAGGGAAAAAGAAAAAAAATCCCTTTTGTAACTTTATGCTGAATCAGCCTCAACGCTGATTAACCTACGTCTTACTGATTTTTACTCGTCTGTCATCTTAACTATATGCATTGTTCACCTCTAAGACTATCAGTTCTCTTCCTGCTGACACACTTAACTTGGAATTGGTTTTCATTAGTTTCTCACGTATCAACTACTCCAATCTGTTGTTATTCAACATTTTATAAGTCTTTCATTCACGCAGGAACGTCCTTTCGTGTTGACGTATTGTGCAATGGTCCAATCAAAGGTTGCTCTGCCTATTTTCTTAGTCACTCTCATGCGGATAATTATATTGGCCTGACCAAACAATATTTGGACTTACACAGAGACTATCGGGGCAAATCTAAACTTAATAAACCCACTTGTAAGGGCAACATCCTATTCATGGTAAGATAAATTGGTGCTTCGTGAGAGGTTTAGATCCTACATATTTGTATTCATAATTTGTATTATTTACTGTATGTTACGACTGTTTTTTCTAGCTCCTAGTTGGCTGCGGTATCAAATCAACCCTCCTACTTCACCAATTTTCTGCAGTTGTTCCATATAGTGAGCATTCTAGTTTCACAAAGATGCAGGAACTTGTGCAGGTTAAGATGGTTTTGTGCAATTCTTTTTGCCTCTTGAATATTTAGTTAATGTCATCATTGTCAACTTCTACCATCTCATCTTAATCTTACATATTTCAAACTATTTCACAAATCAAAACATTCAATAAGACTATAATCATAAGAATTAGTTAGCATGAACAACAAAAAGAGGAAAAAGCTAAGGTCACTCATGAGTGAGCTCTCTCCTTTTTTTCCTTTCCATGTAATCATTTACCTCTATTGCGCTATCATTCTTGAATCATAAACTTAAGAAGTTCACTCTCAGGGTTAAAAGAGCTAAATGTCTGAATATATAAATTCAAAGAGGATTTACTTGCGAAGAAGAGAAATATAAAAATTCAGCGGATGTAAGCATAAAATAGGACATCCTCGTGCATCAGTTTTCTTAATTTATGATATAGGAAACTTGAAGTATGGTTAGCAAAAGTATTTTTGATACCTCGGCTATTTCCAAAGATGGATTAATTTTGCCGTAATAAATCTGTATTTGTACTAAAAGAGATGCCGACAAAATGTGATTTGAAGTATTTTTACCGGTAATTCTCTAAAGCAAGCACCATTAGAGAACAATCACACATTGAAGTATCTATTTCTAGATATACATGTGAAGATTAGATAAAAAATACAGGAAAATTTGCTCACAAACAAGGACAATCAGAGAAATTAGTTGGAGTACCACAACAGAGATATCAGATCTGAGACAAATTAGCCACAAAATATATGAACGTTGAAAGAAATCCAGTGTAGAAACCTGGATATAGATGAGACCAAGAGAAAAGTTGAAGTAGAGAGAGAAACATTGAAATAAAAGGGAAGAAGTAGTGTACCAGTTTGTAAACAGTGAAAAGCCACACATCAGTAATGTGTTGAACCACGTGGAGTATGTTAGTAGGACAACTGAGGAGTAAAATTACGAAAAACACCCTTGGTTGTCCGCAGAACCATCTCCTATATAGAATGACTAGATGTTGTGTGCCCGTGGCAAGGCACGGGCCCGTGTCCTACTTCGTTTAGCCGTTAGAATTTCTCATGAAGATTCTTCTTCAATAAAAATCACTTAGGAAACAAAGTAACAAATCAAATGAACCATGCATATGTGTTGACATAATGCATCTAGCTAAGAAGCAAACACGGACACTTTACAACATATCTAAGAGTTTGAGACACTGAGAAGTAGAAGAATAAAATTAAATCTAAGTGTCTTATAGATTTAACATTTCCAGTTCATTTAAAACAAACTTGCTTCTAAAATATTTCTTTTTCTAGGCAAGCAGCAAGGTGTTTTCACTTGACAGAGAAGCATATCCTTCTTTAAATGGCCTTCCTGGAGCAACACTTCATGGCGTAACTCCAAACCATAATTTTTGCAAAAAGGGATTCTAGATTTGCATTTGCCAGCATTCCGGTTGTACTATCCAAGACCGCCAAATTCCAAATGTTCATATTGACTATCAATCTTCTAGAAAGATTTTAACTCAAGATCTTGAGGTCTTAGACCCTTCTTTGTATCAACCATTTTTCAGCAATTACTTATGTTTCATGGCCTACTTTCTTCTGCAGTACAATGCTAATAATCGCCTGGAGAACAGTCCATGGCATGGAGAATTTGTTTGATTCTCCATACTTCAAACTCCGATCAAAGAGACGGGAGATGATCAACTGTCCAGTCCTCTTGGCCAAATTCCAATTAAACCTAAGCTTATCCGAATAATCAACTCACTATTTAGACAAACAACAACACTAAAGGACTGCACTGATACCTAACTTAGCACTTGTAAATCTCAATTATATAAAGGAATCAATCATCAGCCAGAGACGTAAGATAAAATGAGGGCTATCCCAAAGTAAAGACATATAAAAGCTACTAAACTAATAATTTGAAGGCAAATTGGCCAATAAAGTAAACTAAACAGCTAAAGCAAAAGAAAATTATCTACTTATGAGTAAATGGAAAAAATATGCAGAATAAACTTATATACTCAGTCAGTCTAAAGCCTCTATTCATACATGAATAAAAATGTATAATCTTCATATGATAGAAAACAAAAAACTAAAAGGTATTGCACCAGTCTGAAACGAAGGAGAAATTTTCACAGGTAATTACTTGTGTAGTTTGAAAATTGATTAGCTTGGTCTTAAAATCTAATACATCTGGAAATTAAAACAAAACAATGGCAACAGATTGAGTACACAGTTATTTTGATCTCTGACATGCTTGTTGATTATTATTTATAATTAGAGGACGTTGATTGAGCAAACATCAGGAAATATGTGGATTAATATAGCATTTATGGCAGCAATGAAAGGCTACAAAATGGTTTTGACAATGCCTTCGTACACGAGCATGGAGAGGAGAGGGAAAATGAGAGCATTTAGAGCCGATTTAATCCTCATCAATCCAACCTAAGGAATGAGAGGCACTGTTAAGAAGGCTGAACTTTTGGAATCTACACCTAATGCTTTCATGCTTCAACAATTTTACAAGAACTTGTGATGAAACTTAGGCAGAATTTGACTAACATTATACATTTCTTCTTTTACTGTTGTCACCGTTGTTATTACATGAACTTGTGATGAAACTTAGGCAGAATTTGACTAACTATATATATTTCTTCCAATCAAAAAAGTTGCAATATATGAACACCTAATCGCAAATATTGAATTAAAACACCATTTTTTACAAAATCATTTAACACTTCAAGCACCAAGCTGTAAAAATAACTAAATTACTCTAAAATATTTCAACTATCCCATCTGTTGGACACACATTATCAGTGTGTCATTAGCATAATTTATGAGAGTTGAGACACCACTTCAGTTATTTTTCCTCCCTGCCCACCTAATAACCCCTAATCCAGCTCAATTGTACAACTTTTTTCAGCATTTTGTTCTGATCCTCCATTCACCATTAAAACAAAAAACAAAAAAAAGATAATGGGTCTCTTTGCCTATCCTCTATGAGGGGAGAAAACTCCTCTGCTGAAATAAACTACAACTGATAGTATGATAGCATAGATGCACCATTCTGTACCAACTTACTAACTTTTGTCCGAATCCCATGAGCTTCAATATCCTTAAAGAAACTCCAATTCACACGATTATATTATTTTGATATTTAGATGTCTATATTTTGTTTCAACTGCTAATGATGCTTAGTAGTTTATTCAAGAACTTACTATTATGTACATTCTGGACTATTGATTTCTACATAGAATTTGTTCTCTTCTAATAAAATATTTTTCTCTTAGAGAGGTGTTTTCTTCGCTTTGCTTAGAAAAGTGTTCCTTCTGTTCAACTACACGTTCAGATTTATTCATATGATCACACGTACATAATAATGCAACTTTATCAACACCTCGCAATATTGCATATGGGCTCAAGAGATGATGTGCGTTACCAACTATAAGGATAACACAGCCTGTTATGTTCAAGCATCTACCAACAATTTTTCACATTTCAGGAGGCAAACCAGAAAGGTGAAGAATGTTACATCTTTGAGCACAAGAAGTACGTAATGATAGGACAGTCAACGCATGCCTAATATATCAATATTTGAAGACTAAAGAAGAGGATTAATCATAAGGAAGTAAAATCGAAACAAAGAGTGTTCATTCTGAAACTCGCAAAACAAAAGCATCAGAGCATATATATTGAACTACAGTAAAAGTAATCCGTGAAACTATCACTAACCCTTGGTACGATGTGGTGTGGCAGTCGTACCACCCTCAACTAACTATACATTAATTGAGCAATTTAAAATGCACATATACTAAGTTCATATCGACTATCACATAGCAGTTGCAAGTGTAGTGATAATTTACACCCATTGACTAAACAATCTTGCATATAGCTCTGTAGTAATCTCTTCCATAGCCTAGTTGGTGAAGAGAATTTTCGATGTTGACAAGTATAGTCCCCACAACTCAATTTGTCCGGTAAACTACTCGGGGCTCCCCATGGGGCAGTAAATGTGTTTGGGTATTACATAATATATTTCATGAGACCTCTTCACTCTCTGGAGGGCACTAGTTTAATAGTTCAGTTAGTAGAGGTCTCATAGATAGACAAAGTTAGTGAGTTAGTTCAGTCTTGAGTATTCATATGTTTTAAACATTTTATTATTATTGATGACTACTCCTTTTTTCCTTCCGAACAAATTGTCGAACACGTAGCGAACATGGTAAATTTTGACATATCAAATGCTTAATTATATTTATTTCTAAAACAATTGAATAAACATAACTTTATATCAATTATATCAAAAACCTCAAGGCCATCAATTCTATCATATAGCTTGTACTATCTAAAGGTGGAGGTAAACATGAGTCGGAGGCGTAAGTGCAAGTAATCGCGTACCTTTCCATAGTTTTAGCAAAATCAGTAATACTGTAGTTAGAACCACAAACCAATATCACAAGTACTCAAGTTAAAGTTTCGGTGGTCTGCTAAATCAACAGAAAATCCTTCGTGTTTTGAATTTGGCCAAGAAATCAAACTGACATTTTTCACATGGTATAAAAGTAACATTCTAGAATAGCAGTCGACAAAATTTTAGACCCACAGCGCAGAGCCCTTTCCGTGGATGTTGTAACACGTGGCGTGCGAAAAAGGCACATAGCAAAACAACTAATTCTAGCCTACTATAAGGATTACAAATTGGGAATACTGAAATGAAGAAGCAAAGCGATTAAACCAAAGCAAAATCAAAGTGCAAGAGATATTTCCGGATTTAACAAACCAACCAAATTAACATTAAGTTTAAGCGGAAGGTAACAATTCAAATTAGCAAATAGAACATTAAACAACACATAAACCAAGCAAATGAAGGCGAAAAGATACACCTCCAGTTAGGGTTTTTGTGGTAGATTCGAGAGGGAAAACTTCCGATTGGAAGGAAAACCCAGAAAATGAATGAATGGGAAACAAGCAACAAACCAAACAAAGGAGGCAGAGAGAGGAGTGTACCTTTTTGTTCGTAGGAGCAAATCTACGAGGAATTGGACTGAAATGTGCGTCTCCGAAATTGGGCAGAAAAAAGAATCTACTTTTTTTCCATGGAACATAGAGGAAAGTACGAAAGTTTTTCAGAATAACAAAGAGCAAGATAAAAGATTGCAGAGAAAGAAGGAAGACAGAAAGGAAAATTACCGACCTACCCTTGAATGTCCGAAGAAACTCTCTAATGATGTAGAAAAATTTAAGGGGTCGTTTGGTACAAAGATTAATAATATAGAGATTAGTAATCTAGGGATTATCAATGCAGGGATTAGTAGCAAGAATTATTTTTTATGAAGTATTTGGTTCATTGTTTCTAACATAATCTTGTGTTTGGTTTAGAACTCTAAAAAAAAAAAAAATCCAATTTTACCCTTGAATTATTATGTTATATATAATGTAATTACCATATATTATTGTGGTTTAAAACTTGAATGTGAAGTGCTTAACAAATTTAATTCACTTGAGAAAGTCTCACGTCATAAACAAGATGAAATTATTTCAAGTACCCATGACCCAGGCTTACCTCCCTCCTCTCTTAATATAATAAAACAGGAAAAAACAGTAGCCAACAAGATCTACTGTTTTTTCTTGAAGTTGTAAGGAAGGCCAAGCTCCAACTACTGCTATGAAAACAGTAGCAAAGGTTTTGAGAGAAAATTCCTTTTCAGTTAAAATTTGAATACGAACGAAATCGTATAACTTTGATGAAAACAGGACAAACGATTCCAACGAGCAGAATAGCGTAAATATCTTTGCCAATTCTAAAAGATGTATAAAAAAATTGAGGGTCTATTCAGTCATTTGATTAGTAAACCTTGGATTAGTAATCCCTAGACATCCTCGATATTAGATAAGACCACATATGATGTATTAAGTTATCCATGTATTAGGTGTGCTTGAGTTGAATTGTGCAACCAAACATTGTATTTATCTCCTACCAAACGGCTCCTAAGTGGTTTGGAGTAAATATATCGAGAAAGTATTTTGAAGAATAGATGTATTTATTTTAAAAATGAATGGGTAAATTAATTTTTTCTTGGAATTTTTATTATTACAAATGTTAGAAGATAGGATGTTTAGTTAGTAATATTAAATAATATATAAGTAAATATTTGATTTAAATTAAATGTTATTCAAATAATATTTTTAAAACAAAAACTTATATTTTTATAACTTTTCAATGTAAAAGACTAATTTTAAATAGAGTCCTATAACGAACATTTGTGTAAATTAACTATTTTCTTTTAATTACTAGGAGATATAATTCGTCAATCAAATAGAGATTGTTTTCTGAATCGACCAAATACATCAATTTTTGTAATTAAGAAAACAAATCGTTTTTGATGTGATTGGTTTAACTTTTAGTTATCAATAGGGGTGTGTATCAGTCGATTTGGTTGATTTTATGTATTATTGGTTCGGTTTATCGGTTTTCAGTTTTTAAATATGATAACTCAATAACAAATCAATAAGATATTTTTTATCGATTTTTGGTCAATTTTTGGTTTACCCAATAAGAAAATGTCTGTAAAATATTATATGACTTTCCACTTCTCTAAATGCTTTGATACAGTGAAACAAAAAAAAATGAGAAATTGCATCAATAAGAGAAAATATAGTACGAAGGCTATAATTACACGTCACCGCCAGAACATAGTATGGAATTTCTGATGTTAGTCAAATTGCAGCCTTTTATAAACTTGCAAAAACTACAACCTACAATTACAAACTAAAACAAAAACTAAAATCAAATAGCTTCAATTGCGAACCCTTACTTTAGTCTTTAGGTTTTGAGTAAATGGTAAAGACTAGTAAATCGGTCTAGTGTGAAGTGGGTAGAGTACTAATACATTAATATAGTTATAGTGTCTAGTTATATATTAAATTATTAATATTTAATATTTAGGAAGGGTAAAGTAGTTAATTATTACCGTCTTATTGGGTTATCGGTTTACCCAATAACTCAATAGTAAATATAGAAACCAAACCAATAACCCAATAATTTTTTTTATAAACCCATTAAAAACCCAATAACAATATATGCATTGAAATGTCAGAAGGATTTTCTTTGCTAGAAGGATTTGTGAATGAATTTGAAATGTCATTTGTGAAACTTTTTTTCCTACGTCTATTAAACAAATCATTTTTCTCATATTTTAAGAACTTGTTTTCTTAGATAAAATATTTTTCAAAAACTTTGGCCAATTAAATATGAAAAATTGAAAATATATTTTTAAAAATTATTTTTCCCAGCATCAAAACACACACTAAATTAGTTGAGAGTATAGGAAATTTGGTGAAAGCTGTTGTAGGAGTAACGTAACAATTTTCTAATGAGAAAATAAAACAAACTCGGAGTAGCATGGGATCAATAAGATTCTTGATAGGAAAGCTAACAACATAATAACAAGCTCAGTAAAAAAAAAAAGGACAAATTAAAGTTAAACAAGTCTCAAGTTATAAATCTTTAGGCCTTAATTAATATTCCTACAATAATGCTAGCCATAGAATACCTTTTAATATGATTACTAGTTTACTACTTGATAGAGAAGATCAGTGTAATGACCCTCCTGGTCATTTCTGTGTCTTGTCTTCTGTGTGTCATTTATGACTTGCTGGGACTAACAGCTCGGTCACTTGGTCGTTCGTTTGGTTTTGGTGCGAGTTTTTGTGTTTTGGAGCTTATGAACCTTGAACGATCATTTTCGATCAAAAGTTCAAGAAGATGACATCGGAATCCATTTCTGACGATTCCATCAGCTCTGGAAGGGTCATTTTAGGCTAATAGCATGGTCAACATGACTCCCGAGGTTTTCAGTGTGAGTCGGTGCGATTAGGCGTTTTTACTTTAAGTTTAAGCCTAAGTTTGACTTTGGTCAACATTCTGAGTAAGCGCGCTCGGATGAGAATTTCGTCAGCGCGGTTAGCTCCGGAATATCAAGTTTGGTCTAGATTGACCTTTCTTTTGTGTCTCGAGATTTTCGATATTTTTCGAAGCTCTTTTGTGGTTTTTGACTTATAATGACATTTGGGTGTAGGACCCACTTTTGTCAAGATGACCTCGTATGGAAATTTTGACTGTGCCATTGAGTCCGGAATATCGAATTTGGTAAGGTTGCATATATCGTTTGCGTGCACGGGGTTCTGAACGAGATCGGAGTACCCGTCGGAGTTTTTAGTTTTTGGAAAATTGCAGAAAATCTGCTATAAAATGCAGATTCATCAGCAACATTTCCTAAACTTAAAACCCTCATAACTCTCTCATCTTTCATCCGAATTAGGTGATTCAAAGTGCGGGAGCTTTGTATTTTTGGTGGCTTCGATGTAGAGTGTTCGGAAGTTATTGGGTGCGCCTAGTTCGAGGTAAATTTCGTGATAAACCTGACTGTTGTACCCTTTTTCGAGCTTTTATTTTTGGCATCCTTGTTTTGGTCATATCTCACTCATTTTAGCTCGGTTTTGGGGTGATTCGAAGTCCCACGTGTTGAGAGTGTTCAAGGAGTGTTGGGCACCATTAGATCCTTGTAGATTTCGAGTTTAGATTGCTGAACTGTTTTCTTTTTAGTTGATTAAAGTGTGATTTTCTTGCTTGTTGGTTTTTGCTGCGTTTTGAGCCCCGAATTGTGTTCCCTTTTGGAACACAAGTTTGGGGTGCTGTTTAGGGTTGTCTTGACGGAGTCAAATTCGGACAGTTCGGTGCGGATCCCACGATTCCCGTTTTGACTCCAAAATTGACCCGTCTCCGTTTGTTGTGATTTTTGTGTCTAACCAACCGTAATAACGTTGTGACTCTATTTTTGATAGCGGGGCAGCGTTTCGAGGCCGTTCGGAAAGGGAAAGCTCCGGAGAAGTGATTTTGGAGCGCGTGTGATCGACCTACAGGTAGGCTACGGTTCCCATCTCTTAGATTGAACTCGAGAATGTGAATGCATGTTGATTAGTTGGGATTTGGGTTGGGTAGTTATTGAATCACGTTTAGGTGTTTCAAAGTTTATGTTTTCGGCCTATTTCGAGAATTATCGAGTAGCTGTGAGCATGCTTTGTGCTATTAATTGACCCTCCTCGCTATGTAGAGTGCTTGCATGCTTAATTACTATTTATTTGAAGCATGTTGGGCCTTAGTTTAGGTTTGACTAGGGCTTGCCTTAGAAATACATGATTCGGATCTGATAGGCCTTAGTTTTTCCCCGACGTCGCTCGGCCGGCTTAGATCCCTGTAGACTGGTGTAGCAGACTTGAGTCTGATAGTTTGGGCCTTAGCTAGGCGAAACGCTTGCTCCGACTATAGTTATCCTTATTTCCCCCGATGTTACAGCTTCACGAGTTACGTCGGCGACACTAATTCTTCTTCGCAATTTGAATTTGATTTTCGATTCGGTTCTAAGGACTTTCATTGATTGGCTAAGTGTGGACGGTGTTCCACGGACATTATGAGCGTGGATTGATTAAGACTCTTTCAGCAGCTACATTGGCACATTTATAGAGCATCCGGTTTAAGGTCCGGCCTCTATTGCCCAAATACTTATATAGAGCATTCGGTTTAAGGTCTGGCCTCTATTGCCCAGATATTTATATAGAGCATCCGGTTAGAGTTCCGGCTTCAGTTACTTGATACTTGTGATTGGTTACTTGGGTACTTCTGATGAGCATCCGGTTCGAGGTCCGACCTCCGTACTGTCATATTCTACTAATTAGGATTGAGGTTCTGGTTCGATGTTCTCCGTTCTTGGGTTCTTATATACAATTCTCTTTAGTTATAGTTATTCTGTGTACTCGTCGGGCTTATGGGGGTCCGTTCGGGTTTTTATTTAACTTGCGCACGAGTGTACCTTCTGGGCTTATGGGGGCCCAGTAGGTGTAGTTAGCTTATAGATTACTTTAGTTAGTTCTTTCTACACTCGTGTGCATTCCATCGTCAGTTAGATTTTCGTTCTTGACTTCAGTTTGTGTTATTCCTTCTTTTCATATTGCCTTTACTTTTCAAGTTCAGTCGGCCTATGATGCCTACTGGGTACTTGTTGTTTTAGTACTCATGCTACACTCTGCATCTATTTCATGATGCAGGTCCGAGCACCAGTGGCCAACGTTGATCCAGTTTGGAGTAGTCTGATCCGAGACGGGGGTGAGCACACGGCGTTTTGTACTATTTCAG